GGGGATCCACGTTTCCTCTTCGGGCTGTGCCCAGCCGGGCTCCATGGGTGAAAGCCCAGCCACCAGGTGCTAGCCAACGTGCCCCACCTCCAGGTCTGGCTCCAGAGGGGGACCCCGGTGACCCATGTCCTGGCGAGGGAACACGGTTTCCATTTATATAATTCATCATAAGAGGTATTTGGGCTTCTCTTTGTCTGATCCCTCATCTAGGACCTGTTTGCCATGGCTGACCCTACCAGAGGCAGAAAGCCTGAGACAACGTAGCTCCTAGAATCACTGAGACACTCAAACCCCTCCACCATGGTAAGGTGGCAGCCCAGGGAGAGGCGGTAAGGTGGCAGCCCAGGGAGAGGATATACAGTATATGTATATATATATATATATATATATATATATATATATATGTATATATATATATATATATATATATATATATATATATATATATATATATATATATATATATATATATATATATATATATATATACTCCTCCTTGAACCGTCACCTTATCGTGGTGGAGGAGTTTGAGTGCCCTAATGATCCTAGGAGCTATGTTGTCTGGGGCACTTAGTGCCCCTGGTAGGGTCTCCCATGACAAATTGGTCTTAGGTGAAGGGTGAGACAAAGAACGGTTCGAAGGATCTTTCATGGCGGTTAAAACGAAGAGTCGGAGTACCCGGCCCGGAGGGTTACCGGGGTCCCACCCTGGAGCCAGGCCTGGGGTTGGGGCCCGTGAGCGAGCGCCTGGTGGCCGGGCTTTCGCCCATGGGGCCCGGCCGGGCCCAGCCCGAACCGGATACATGGGCTCGTCCAACTGTGGACCCACCACCCGCAGGAGGAACATGAAGGGTCCGGTGCAATGTGAATCGGGTGGCAGACCAAGGAGGGAGCCTTGGCGGTCCAATCCCCGGACAAGAAAACTAGTTTTTGGGACATGGAACGTCACCTCGCTGGCGGGGAAGGAGCCGGAGCTTGTGGCAGAGGTTGAGTGGTACCGGCTAGATATAGTCGGACTCACCTCGACACATTGCATTGGCTCTGGAACCCGAGACCTGGAGAGGGGTTGGACACTCTACTTTGCTGGAGTTGCTCCGGGTGAGAGGCAGAGGGCTGGGGTTGGCTTTTTGTTAGCCCCGAGACTCTCTGCCTGTGTGTTGGGGTTTACCCCGGGGGACAAGAGGGTAGCTTCCTTGCGCCTTCGGGTCGGGGAACGGGTCCTGACTGTTGTTTGTGCTTATGGGCCAAATATCAGTTCAGAGTACCCACCCTTTTTGGAGTCCCTGGGACGAGTGCTAGATAGTGCTCCATCAGGGGACTCCATTGTCCTGCTGGGGGACTTCAATGCTCACGTGGGCAATGACAGCTTGACCTGGAGGGGTGTGATTGGGAGGAACGGCCCACCTAATCTGAAATCGAGCGGTGTTTTGTTATTGGACTTCTGTGCAAGCCGCAGTTTGGCCATAACGAACACCATGTTCGAACATAAGGATGCCCACCGGTACACTTGGTACCAGGGCAGCCTAGGTCACAGGTCGATGATAGATTTTGTAGTCGTATCATCTGACCTGCGGCCGTATGTTTTGGACACCCGAGTGAAGAGAGGGGCGGAGCTGTCAACTGATCACCACCTGGTGGTGAGTTGGATCAGATGGCAAGGGAACATGCCTCGTAGACCTGGCAGACCCAAACGCATAGTGAGGGTCTGCTGGGAACGCCTGGCAGAAGAACCTGTCAAGATGGTCTTCAACTCCCACCTCCGGCAGAGCTTTGACCACGTCCCGAAAGCAGTGGGGGACATTGAGTCCGAGTGGGCCTTGTTCCACTCTGCGATTGTCGAGGCGGCTGTTGCTAGCTGTGGTCGTAAGGTGGCCGGTGCCAGTCGTGGTGGCAACCCCCGTACCCGCTGGTGGACACCAGAGGTTCGGGGAGCCGTCAAGCTGAAGAAGGAGGCCTACAGGGCGTGGCTGGTCAGTGGGTCTCCGGAGGCAGCAGACAGGTACCGGATAGCCAAGCGGGGTGCAGCAGTGGCAGTTGCCGAGGCAAAATCTCGGGCGTGGGAGGAGTTTGGTGAGGCCATGGAGAAAGACTATCGATCGGCTCCAAAGAGGTTCTGGCAAACTGTCCGGCGCCTCAGGAGAGGAAGGCAGCAACTCGCTCACACTGTTTACAGTGGGGATGGGGAGCTGCTGACGTCAACTGAGGCTATAGTCGGACGGTGGAAGGAATACTTTGAGGAGCTCCTCAATCCCACCAATGCGCATTCCGAGGAGGAACCAGAGCTGGGAGGCCTGGGGATGGACTGTCCGATCTCGGGGGCAGAAGTTGCTGAGGTAGTCAAACAACTACACAGCGGCGGAGCCCCGGGGGCGGATGAGATTCGTCCTGGGTATCTCAAGGCTATGGATGTTGTAGGGCTGTCATGGTTGACACATCTCTACAACATTGCGTGGTCATCGGGGGCAGTTCCTAGGGAGTGGCAGACCGGGGTGGTGGTCCCCATCTTTAAGAAGGGTGACCTGAGGGTGTGTTCCAACTATAGGGGGATCACACTCCTCAGCCTCCCTGGAAAGGTCTACTCTAAGGTACTGGAGAGGAGGGTCCGATCGATAGTTGAATCTCAGATAGAGGAGGAGCAATGTGGTTTTCGTCCTGGCCGTGGAACTGTGGACCAGCTCTATACCCTTGCAAGGGTGATGGAGGGGGCATGGGAGTTTGCCCAACCAATCCACATGTGCTTTGTGGATTTGGAGAAGGCTTATGACCGTGTCCCCAGGGGCACCCTGTGGGGGACGCTCCAGGAGTATGGGGTGGGTGGCTTTCTGTTAAGGGCCATTCAGTCCCTTTACCAGAGGAGCGTGAGTTTGGTCCGCATAGCCGGTAGTAAGTCGGACCTGTTCCCAGTGAGGGTTGGACTCCGCCAGGGCTGCCCTTTGTCACCGGTTCTGTTCATCACTTTTATGGACAGAATTTCTAGACGCAGCCGTGGTGTGGAGTGTGTCGAGTTTGGTGGCAGGAGAATCTCGTCTCTGCTTTTTGCGGATGATGTGGTCCTCCTAGCTTCATCCAGCTCTGACCTTCAGCTCTTGCTGGGTAGGTTCGCGGCCGAATGTGAAGCGGCTGGGATGAGGATCAGCACCTCCAAATCTGAGACCATGGTTCTCGACCGGAAAAGGGTGGCTTGCCACCTCCGGGTCGGGGGAGAGGTCCTACCTCAAGTGGAGGAGTTTAAGTATCTCGGGGTCTTGTTCACGAGTGAGGGTAGGAGGGATTGGGAGATCGACAGGCGGATTGGTTCGGCGTCTGCAGTGATGCGGACGCTGAGCCGATCTGTCGTGGGGAAGAGGGAGCTGAGCCAGAAAGCCAGGCTCTCGATTTACCGGTCGATCTACGTCCCAATCCTCACCTATGGTCATGAGCTTTGGGTAATGACCGAAAGAACGAGATCGCGGATACAAGCGGCCGAAATGAGTTTCCTCCGTAGGGTGGCCGGGCTCAGCCTTACACATAGGGTGAGGAGCTCGGACATTCGGGAGGGACTCGGAGTAGAACCGCTGCTCCTCCGGATCGAAAGGAGCCAGTTGAGGTGGTTTGGGCATCTGGTCAGGATGCCTCCTGGACGCCTCCCCGGGGAGGTGTTTCGGGCATGTCCTGCCGGCAGAAGGCCCCCGGGTCGACCCAGGACACGTTGGAGAGGTTACATCTCCAATCTGGTCCGGGAACGCCTTGGGGTCCTGCCGGAGGAGCTGGTGGACAAGGCCGGGGAGAGGACGGCCTGGAGCTCCCTAGTTGGGATGCTGCCCCCGCGACCCGGACCCAGATAAGCGGAGGAAGACGAGACGAGAGACGAGATATATATATATATATATATATATATATATATATATATATATATATATATATATATATATATATATATATAGAGAGAGAGAGAGAGAGAGAGAGAGAGAGAGAGAGCTACTGCAGCTGTGGAGGGCCCCATGTCTGTGTTTACCATGGGCCCCCAAATTGCTAAATCCGCCACTGGTTTTTAGCTCCATTGACTTGCATTCATTTTTTTGTTCTTCCATGGTCCGGAAGTAGATGAACGTGACTTAGGCTCCCTATACACTTATAGAGGTTACATGGGCTGGGGCTTTCAATTGGTGCTAGTGTAACTGTGGACCGCCATCTTGGATGGGTCACCAGTCACCCCCCCAGTGCATTCCTTGGGCTAGAAAAGTCAATAGTAATCCCAGATAATCTGTTTTTAACAGTACACCTGCTGTTGGAACCATAGACTACACAATAACAATTACAAATTAAAAAGCTTTAGTTTACAGTAATAACTATGCCTAATGGTTGATTCTCTGCCTCATTATTTTTCATTTAAAAAATAGCTTTGAGGGCACATTTTCCCGAATGATTAAAATGTGATTAAGTAATTAATTACAAAGTCACTAATTAATTAATTTTTTTAAATCGAGTCCCACCCTTAATGATAATATAAAGTTTAGTCCTGTTACAATAAAAGGGCACACTTTAGCACTCCTAAGTGTCTGGAATTAGTTCTCTGTGGTCAAACCAAAAATTAAACTTATCTCCTTGCTGTGAGGTCATCTTTTTAACACCTTAATCTAACTGTATGTCTCCCCAGCCTCCCTTAGTGTAAATAGGAGTGTCATCACTAAAACAAACAAATCAGCTGTTCATGATCTAAAACATGTAGGAAACGTGCTGGAATTAGACTGCAGTGCCAGGTGGCCAACAAGTGGTGGCCCACCACACTAAAAGTTATAAATGTGGTGATATGGCAACAGGGGCGACCTTTTATTAACCCTGTAAAGTGTCATAGCACATTCTGGCTCAAGAAAATAATTTAAAAACATGAAAAAATGGCAAAGAATGGCTTTAAATTTGCAGGTATGTCTCCCACAAATTCACAAATTTGATAAGAAGATGATTGCGCAATCTGTGTATCTTGAACATGAAATGTTTTCAGACATATTTGGAATCCTTACCCTTTGCTCAGTAGGAGGTAGCTGCTCGGCAGCTTTGTGATGGGCTTCCGAGGCCTCCATTCACAGTGGATTGTACTTCTGGGTGACTTTTTGTAGCAGGACAGACTGGGAGTCTCTGGTGGATCTAAAAGACACAAACACATGTAATTGTTTATCTTTAGTTAATGTTTGCAGTAAGGTCATTTCAAATTCCACTGCCTTTAATCCAGATGTACATGATGATGGCTGTCCTACTGTAAATGTTTTACAATCTATTTATAGTAACTCACCTGCAACAACTAATTTAACAGTAAATGTCTCTGTCCCTCTGTGGTGACATGTGTATTGCCCTGCATCTGTCAGTCTCACCGACTCCAGAGAGAGAGACGTTCCGTGATTCAGAAATGTGACCTCCCCCTGGTTTGTGTCTCCTTTTTGCACCAGCTGTTTGTTCCACGTCCACTCAGGCCTCGGTTTGACGCCTCTAGTTACTCTGCTCCCTTTTCCCTCCTCCACCTCATCATCATTACTTTCCATCTCTTTATCCTCCCAGTCGAAACCATCCATCATCATTTTGCTCATGGAGGCTGGATGGACCGTGAGAGGGGAAACGGTGTATTTGTCCTGCTCAGAGCTGACTCCGGTCTCAGCAGTAGGAGAAAGGTTTCTCTCATTTACTGGATTCAGCAGAGAAGTCTGATCATTTTTAGTGGGGACTACAGCATTACTGGGCCCCTTTTGAGTGGTTGCATGTCGGACTGAAGCTGGCCTTCTTTTGTTTGAACTGTTTAGAACGACCTTTACTCCGTCCACCTTCACATGCCCGCTACAGGATAGGACCAGTCTACTTCCTGGAGTAATAGCCACCACACCAGTAGGAGGGTCTGCACAGAAATATGTGACACAAAAGTTAATACGCAATACATGTTTTCTACTGTGCATCGTGATATTTTGGACTTAAGGCTTCAGTGTTGGTCACAGTTAAATAGGCACAGCTCAGAAAGGATGCAACATTGCACAACCCAAATTACCCTCTCCTTTGACACTTCCTCTTTTAATACGTCTCTCTCCATTTATTTTCTCTTCTACCAGAAATTATTCTCCGCTTGCATCATCTCACACTTATTTACATAACTAGTTCACCCTTAAATGTTTACACACTTAAATTTAGTGCAGAAATCAAAACACTGTCCATAACCCATCTTAGATCTTTGTTGTTTACTTCTTTTTGCTGCACCCCGTCTAGATTTAAAGTATCAGAAAGTGTTGATTTTAAATGCTGAAAACATTTAATCCAAATGCATGGAAAAGATACTTTATCAGACAGAAAACAGGACTGCACCTGGACACACACACACACACACACACACACACACACACACACACACACACACACACACACACACACACACACACACACACACACACACACACCCACACACACACACACCCACACACACACACAACTTGTTGTGCTTTCTTTTCCTGAATGATTCTTGATTTCAAAAAATGTATCACTTAAATGTATTTAAAGCTCAGAATTTTGAGATCATAAAATGAAAGTTGTGTACAAACAAAACAAGTTCAAATGTATTTTCTCTGATCTGAAATAAATTACAATCAATAAATCAATAAAGAAAAGAAAGATGCAAGATAAAACATCTTGTTTACTTGCTTTTGCTGAAGTTAAGGAACTGAAAATGTCAAAAATGCAAATAAAATCATCACTTGATTAACCTTTTAGGAAACTTATTAAATCACAAAAGGTTTTTTTATTTAAACAAAATTTTATGCTCAGACTCAGTTAAGAAATAAAATCTGTTTAAATAAAAATGAAACCAAAGGCTTAATTCAGATCTATTCTACAAGTTCTCACCTTTTCTGGGACACTTTCCATCAAAAAAGCAGCGAATGGGCATGACGCACAGAACACTCAGCCAAAGGTGTAAAATCAACATTGTTTTGCCTCTTCTTGCATCATTTATAACATCAATTATACAACTGCAGGAAACTCTCCTCTACATACTCTCCAGAGCTGAAGGAGAAACTGCCTGTCATCCACCACGGGCAGGATAAATAAAGCTCCTGTGTACGCAGCCGTGAGCGGTCCGTAAAACCCGTTATTGTGAAATCCCAAAGATCTTCCCCCAGTTCAGCGCAGGAAATCCTCCTAAGTGTCAAAATATCCCCCCAAGGCTTCATCTACCACTATATTATCAGTCTAGATGCAGACTCAAACTGGCTTTCATGAAGGTGGATACTTTACATTATTAGATCATGTTGGAGGATCATAAACATCCAGCCCATCTGAAAGTGTTCTTAATATCAGCTTGACCACTCAGAATTAAAAGATTAAATATCTTCGAATGATTGGTTCAGTCTTTCACGTTCTACCACCTCATTGTCATTACTGTCTTTGAATTTGACTGCTGCATGAAATCCAATTAAAGGAGCCGGATAAAATGTTTTGACCACAGAGAAGTTTGAGTTAAGGATCATTTGGGCACAGGAACATACAGTGGTGTGGAAAAGTATTTAACCTCTCACAGATTTAAGTTTCTTTTGTAGTCACACTAACAGTTGGATGTGAAGGTTTGGAAATCTTTTTCAATCATTATTTTCCAGTTTAAATTGTTGATTGTTATAGAAAAAAATCATTTAAAGGCCTTCTTCCACTTTAAACCCATCTAAGCATTTTTGAATAGCTTGACCTATATTAGAAGTATCTGGTGGTCTGAGTAAACAGCTTAATGATGGAGTAATAAATACAGAATGCATTTCATTAGCTGTGGATACATTTATTATTGGGGTTTTACTTTTACATTTATTTAAGTATATATTTGAATGATGGAACGACGCCTCTCGGCTGGCCAGGGAATGCCTTGGGATTCCCCTGGAGGAGCTGGCCCAAGTGGCTGAGGAGAGATAAGTATGAGCCTCCCTGCTTAGGCTGCTGTCCCCGTGACCTGACTCCGGATAAGCAGAAGAAAATGGATGGAAATTGCATGCTTGTTGCTGTTTTGATTGAAGAAGGCAAGTTGTGTTTAAGTTAAGTTTATTAAGGTGTGTTGATTGACCAATGGACCTTTGACTTATGTGGCCCTTTGAGACTTGTACTGGAGTTCCCCTGAAATAGACATGTGATCAAAGAGGGGGAAAACTGGCTTTGCATTGGGAGGGACTGACACCAGAACAGCTAACCAGATCCAGAATGTGGAATTTAGAATGAGTAAGAAATTGATGTATTGTTGGGGTCCAAAGCTTTCCAAACAAGAAGTGAAATCTCTGGAAAGATTATTTTCATTGTCCATGTGAATGATGAACAATTATCATATTGGGAGAGAGTATAGAGAGATGAGTGAGAAGAGCAGCAAAGTCATTAGAAAAATCCTTATTCTGCTTAGAGGGCGATAAACAGTTATAGTAAGTAAGTAAGTAAGTGTTTATTTATAGAGCGCCTTTCACAGATATAAATCACAAAGCGCTGTACAACATGATAAAGATCAGGGCAAATACCTCTAACCAATAAAAACATCAGAAAAACAATAGCAGTGATAAAATAGAAAATAAAATCATGAGTATAAACAAAGTGAAGGTGTGAACCCGAACAAAGCCATCTTTTAGAAACATTTAGGGAGAGAATGCCTGGATGAAAAGGTGAGTTTTTAGATGATTTTTAAGACCTCTACAGTGTTAGAGAGACGGAGATTTGAAGGTAGACTGTTCCAAAGTCTGGGGGCAATAGTCTGAAAGGCCCTGTCCCCTTTGGTTTGGTTCTAGGAGCAGCCAGGAGGTTTTCAGATGTGGATCTAAGGTTCCGAGAGGTGGTGTGTGGGGATAAAAGCTCAGATAGGTAGGTTTGAGCCTGGTTGTTAAGAGCTCTTTAGGTCAGGACTAAAACTTTAAACAGAATTCTATATTCTACCGGCAACATTGCATCGTTGCATACCTGTTCTTGAGTGGCAAAGCCAGCTAGAGGTGCAGACTTGGTTGGAGTCCAGGCCATCAGCTGTGGTTGATTCAAAATCAGTGTAGAGCAGAGTTTTGAGCTGAAGAGGGAGAATAATTATTGTTTTTGACTGAATTTGTAAATTTTAATAAGATGCATTAAAATGCCAAACTAATGATTACACATGTCTACGGCACTATTAGACACTCATCTATGGAGTTTGTCAGCAAACAAAAGTTGATTTTTAGTTGCTCTTTCAGATCAGCCTATTCAATAACGCCTGCCTTCATTTGACCAAAAGTAAACCTGCTTTAATTTACACGACATCTAGGCCAAGGTCTGACTAGAAATCAGCAGAAGCCAGGTCTTCTTTCCGTTCTTTTATTTTTCAAGCTACATTAAAATGACCGAACTGTTGCCAGGCCAAAATTAAAGGCTGAAGTTCGAAATAAAAGCACTGAAAGCTTCATTCTAGGTGAAACTTCTGTATGATGCAAAACATCGCTATGGGATGATAAGCCAGCACATCAGAGAGAGGACAAACATTTCAGCGGTTTTCTGTAAATCAGTTTTCAGCTGAGAAAATCTGCACTTTTCCACTTCTGCTGTGCATTTTAGTCATTAGGATTGTGAACTAAGATACAAAAATGATTTAGATGATCAAACACTAGTATCTTTTCCCCTCCCTACCTTTTCTGTCCTACAGCTGAATGAGCAGCTGAATTTGGTTTATTTACACACTTCCCAAAGTTAAGATGCATGCAGTTGCGTTCATAATAAAATAAAAGTTAATATAAGACAGGGAACTTTATGCCATTAGAAGGAGTTGCTTCTTCTGTGATTCTGTGTTTTGGCTCAATCTTATCCTACAATATTTTTTATATTTTTAATATTATTTTATCTCCACTACACATTTTACCTGTATGAAGTAATAAGTTATACAAATGTAATATTTATACATCTGCTACAATTCAGATCACCTTCAAAACTCAGTCACACACCCAGGGCCATTTCAAGGCATTTTGGGGGCCAAGGCAAAACAGAACACCCCGCCCCCATCACTGGGCTTCCCCAGAAGCCTCTGAGTAATTCATCTCCTGTCCAGGAGTGTTAGTTATACGGTGTTTGTAAAAAACCCTCAGACATTACTGACATCTTCTAATACTGTCTGATGAAAAACAAAATTGTCAGACACGCCGTCTCATCTGCTTCTTTTCGAAACTCACAAAAATCTGTCAGTAACAAAACCACCTGAAAGCCACTATTTGTGGATTCTCTACAAGTTTCCATGGAGTCTGTGACAAACTTTTTTTTTCATTGATCCCATCGTCTAATCAATCTTTAACAATGCTGTAGTAAAACACAAAGTATAATCATTTCTAATTAATATAACATTGCAGCACTAAAAAAGCATAAAAATTAGATTTTGCAATAAATATGCTAAAATTTTACATATGAATTGTTTTCGAGCAGTTTTGTTGGCAGAATCGGATATTAATTTTAGCTCTAACACTTAGGGGAAAAAAGGGTCCCAAAGTGGCGTTGCCATAGTGTGACGTCCTTGGTAGACAGAGATCCTCTGTCCTCTTTTTTGGAAATGGAAATATTGTAGGGTCCACCCCATCTTCTTGCTTTGTCTCCTCGCAGTTGCTCTTTTGACTTTTGCTATGGCTTAGTGCGCAGCTGCTAGCCACATCATTTGATCGTTAGCTTCGTAACTGAGCTGAATCAGCCAATGGTCATTAAATTATATAATTCCTCAAATAAACACCACTATCTTGAGTGGCTTCCTAAATGTACATGCCACCGCTGTTGTGCTCCTTGCACAGCCCTGATGAAAAGGGACTTGGGCAACCAATCACATCTTTTAGAATGCCACGCCCTTTCGTGTAATCCGTGCATGTGCACGGGCACACAAACTAGTGAAGTATTAATCCAGCTTTTCTCTGAACAAATAGTTTCTCTGTAGCATTTAGAGCATTACTAATTTACATAGAAAAGCAAGTCAGGGATGGCACAGACGTTGGTATGCTACATCAGACTAGGGGTCACCCACTTCGGTCCTCGAGGGCTACCATCCTGCACATGTTAGCTGTGTTTTGCTCCTACACACCTGATATAAATGAATAATTCATTAACAGGCCTGTGCAGAGTTAAATATGGTAAGGAGAGGATCAAATTTCTCCATCCAGGTGTGGTAGAGCAGGAAACGCAGAAATCTAACAGGATAGTAGCCCTCGAGGACTGGAGTTGGTGACACCTGCATAGACACTCCAAGCTTAAAAACAAAAAGGTGAATGTTGCTTAATCTTCTAGTACACCTTTAACAAATAAAATAATAAAATAATCTAAATAAACATATTTTATATTTACCAAACACATCTCATATCTTTATGTCTTATATTAAAATATTTTGCTGGTCTGAAACATTTAAGTGACAACAACAAGACAAAATCTGTGAGGGACAAAAACATTTCTAGATCACTCCTAAAACATAAATAATTAGCTGGTTTGACACCGGAATGCTGAGAAATTTGAATGCATGTGAGACACACTGGCGTTAGCAATGTTTTGTTTTCTTATCTGTATGAGAGCTGAGGCTTGAGGTCTAGCTAGAGGAAGTAGAGCACCAAAACTGGAACTATGCAGATTGCTGCTGTTGGTGCAATAGTTAACCACGTAGTTGGCTGCAATAATGTAATCTGGACACTATCTGTACTCAAGACATAGACACAGGCACAAACATGAGGTTTTGGTTAGCAATGTTACAGGTGGAATGAAAGGATTGTTTACTTGCATGAACGCAAGATAGAAGTGAAGTGCACTTGAGTTTGAGCGTCTCAAGCATAACAAGGAACCCACCTACAAAGTGCAACTGGTTGTGTAAGATCCTGAAGAAGTTCTGGCTGTGCATTGCAAACATGATGGTGAAATACAAACCAAGAGAGCCCACACAAACAGATGGTTCCAGAAGCCTGTCAAGAGCAATCTGCAAAATCAAATGAGCTCAAATACACAACAGGAGCATATACCTAAATATTATAGCCAGTCAGTCCAGTTTATTGATGTAAACTGACAACGATAACCAGAGCAGTTGCTGTTGTGACTGCAAATGTCTGGTAAACTGCAAGTGGTCTGCATTGCATTTAACAGAACTGCACTGTGTTAAATCATTAAAACAAACGTAAAAATGCTCCTTTGCTTTTTAGAGTCCATATCCAGAAGGCTGGAGCCGTGTTTCACTAACAGGCTGTCAGACTAAAGCCCTGATGCGCTCAGCTGGGACAAACTCTGGTCTGACGTTTAGGTAAGTGAAGATCTGGTTCTCCAAGGCCTTGAGATGCTAGTAAAAATAATTTAGCCAGTAAATTTGTCCAGCTTGCTAAAGTTACTTTTCTTCTCCTCTAAGGAACAATGCTCAGATATTGGACGTTCACGTCACCTACTGAGGAAGGAGACCCACCAGTAAAGAGACGGTGTCACCACTGACGGCTGATTGGCTGCACCTGGCGGTAAGGCGTTTCCTGTTTCCTGTTTTCAGTGTTGCACTACGTGTAGCTGTTTGGTGTTTGGGGCTCGCTAAAACTGATTTAATTTCTCTGTACTAGAATATCTCTGAGTTATTGTAGCACATAAGCACGGTAAAACACACATTTTCTGTTGTTCCACCTAGCTTTTAGGGAACCATTTGAGTTTGCACGCAGTTTAAATGAAATAAATGATAAATGACCCGCACTTGTATAGCGCCTCTCAGAGTAAGGACTCCAAAGCGCTTTACACTACAGTGTATCATTCATCCATTCACACACACATTCACACACTGATGGTGATGAGCTACGATGTAGCCACAGCTGCCCTGGGGTAGCCTAGTGAACTAGACCAAATTCTTGCTTTGCAAAGTATATATTCACATTTATAGTCTGGCTTGCCAGGCTAGCCCTGAGGTGCACTGACAGAGGCGAGGCTGCCGAGCACAGGCGTCACCGGTCCCTCCTACCACCACCAGCAGACAAGGTGGGTTAAGTGTCTTGCCCAAGGACACAACAGCAGAATTCTCTGTCAGAGCCGAGATTCAACCTGCAACCTTCCGATTACTGGACAACCCGCTCAACCTGTGTCAGATGTTT